TTTTTCTCAAACCTAGATGACTCCTCGGACACCACTGAAACGCAACAAAAGAGAAACTAAATCATAGTCTAACAAAAAAAACCTCAAATACACATTCAAATTTCACCAAACCAAGTCAAATCACGTGGATGCGAATAAATAAAAAAGAAACAATATCGAACCACCGGAGACTTGATCTGTAGCAAACCATAACCCAAAATGCCAGCGAAATCAACATAGAAACCAGCGAGAACTGGTTTAAAGAGAACCAAAAATTCTACTTCCATCAAGACAAAGAAAAGTAGCAAAATCAGGACCAAGAATCAACCATAGGAGTTCGAAAAAACAGAACAAAAATGAAGCTCTCACCAGTGGCTAGCTCGTTCTTGAGAGAAATGGAGAAGAATCTTTAAACACAATGAAAAAATAGGGTTTTGAGATCTACAAAATAGATGCCATTGCAATTCACAGAGCTCCACAGCTTCTATGAATGTTCGTGCGCTTTTCTTTATGCATGTTTGAGAAAAACCCAGTTCTCAAACCTAGATCTAGGTGTCTCTCAGGCTTCGATAGTTAAGCAAAAGCAGATTCACAATTTTTGTTTCTTTAAATGCCATCGTCGCTGATTCACCTGGTGCAATCCCCGCTATCCATGGCGCCATCACCTCCACCATCACTCACGTCGCCGTCACAGCCGTTACCATCGCCTCCGGTGCTTGTCTCTCCACCAAGGTCGACTTCTTCTGTTTTGGTTTCGTTTCCTTTTTTTCTTTTATGGAGCAATTGTTTGTGGTTGTTTGTGGAGAAGATTCTTTTATAGAGTTTTTTTTTTTGCCAGATTTGGGTTTGAGAGAGGAAGAAGAAGGTAGGAGAGAGAGAAAGAATAAGAAGAAGAAAGAAGAAGGATGAGCAGGGAAAGGAAAGAGGAAATGAGGAAGAAGATGAAGTTTGAGAGAGAACTCAGATCTGGGTTTGCAGAGGTAAGGGAAAAGGAAAGGTAAAGGAGAGAGAAAGTGAAAGAAGAAGAAGAGGTGACGTGGAAGGAAAAAAAATCATTATTTTTAAATTAAAGAAAAATGCTAAATCATATAAAAAAATTGTTATTTTTTTCCATGTCATTAGTTAAGAAAAAACAAATAATTTGCTGGCAAGTTAATGTGCCACATGTCCATTTAACTTGACAAAAGAACTGTTTTGGTATCAAAAATGAAAGTTTAAGGATAATTCTGGTACTTTTTCGTGCTGCATGTTGCTTTGATCTCACTTGGTACCCAAAATCAATGGGGAGATTAACTTCTTTCATGGAGTTGATTGAAGCTAATATCAGGGTTGATCACAATGATCCTAGAGAATTTTGTATTGGTGATCTGGAAAATTTGTGCCACCTGGGTCGGCTCTGGGTGAAGTTGGTTGGAAATTCCATAGATGCAGATGAGGCTAGGAGAGCAAGACTACATGATAAGATCCATTTGCAAGAGATGAAGATTGATTTGGATCGAAACATAGACCGAGGTTATGCAGTTGAAACCTTAAACCCGCCTTCCAACTTAAATTGTCAGTTTTGGACTAGATACACCGACTGGTATTAGTAGCTACTAGCTAGTCCAGGAAGGAATGTGAATTTTATCGAGCAACCAGGAGACACTTACACTGATCATGGTGAATAATGGGAGTTTTCTTTCATGGTCTGTAATTCTTGCTGACTCTCTTTACTTTCTTCTTGTTGGTTCACGTTTGAATTCTGTTTGTTTTCATGTTGGTTTTATGTTCTATTTGCCTTTTTTTTTTCTTGTTGGCCCATATTTGGATTCCATCATGTGGGGTTGATTCAGCCGGTGTTTGCTGGATGACTTGACAGAAAACTTGTTGCCTTTCCCATTGAAGTGATCGTATATTTGTTATTTGAATGCATTGATTTTTTTTTTCCCAAAAACAAACATTTGCATACACTAATTTATGCTCTGAAGCAAAGGTATTGTTCACGAATTGTGCAAATTAAAGACACTATTATTAACTCTTTGAGTATGTTATATAGGTTACTTAGACCAAACTGGGTAAAACATCAACCTACAACAACCTGGTTTTCTAACGGTGTTATTAATACCACAACATTCATTCCAATCCAGATTGTTATGGGTCAGTATCAAATTCTTCCTGCTTAATTTGCACCGCTATTTTAGCCATTCAAGCAAAGTTTTGGATAAATTGTAATCTAAGATTTACTTTCGCTTCTCTAACTTCTTGGTCCCTTGTTCAATTGTCTTCCTAACAATTAGACACTTTTATGACCCTGCCTCCGCGTTGTACAGTTTTCCCCTGTTTTTGAACTCAAATGCTCCATTATTTTTTACAAAAAAATAGAACTCTCTTTCATGAAATTAACTTCATTGCGGATTTTTTTTTCATGTGAAAGCTTCCTTACAAAATGTTGGATGTGAAAAATCCATGTCAAAGAATTTGAAAACCTACGTGATATTGACATCAACTATTAAGTTCAAATCAAATCACATTCTATTAAGCTCCTTTATTATCTTCCCTGACAACAAACTAAATTTTATAACCAAATGGATCATGTCTACATTTGATGAGGTCATATTACATGAGAAAATCTCATCAAAGCAGTTGCAATGGATTTATAGATTCGATGCTGCAAATTTATTTCCCTGCAATAATCAAGGTCTACTACAAAATGCTACCACTTTGGGCCAAAAATGTGAATTGAAATATTTTTTAAAAGATTTTTTCCAAAATAATCATAAGTTTTCATGGGTAAAATTAAATTTTAGACTCTCTATTTTAATAACAAATCTTCTTTTAATCTCTTTATTTAAGAAAGTCTTTTATTAGTTTTTAAAATTTATTATCCAACTCTTTTTTATTTTTTTCAATATCTTTTTACATACCTTACATATGAGATAATAAAAATTTTAAAGTAAAAATAGTAAAAGAAAAACTCTTTTTTGATTCCCTTACTTAAAAAACCTTTTTAATTTTTCTATTTTAAAATTTATATTATTTAATGTGGCAAGTATCTAAAAATATTAAAGGGGTAAAAAGAATTAAATAATAAATTTTAA